CTTTTTAGCCTCTAGATAAAAAAATACATGCAAAACGAAATTGATTAGCAATCTATCTGAAAATGTATATGCCAATAAGTCGCGCCATTAACAGAATTCGGTCTTTTAATTATAATTCTTTTTCTTCCATTTCTCGTTAATTTTCGTAAGAAGGATACTTAATACTAACAAATGAGGTAGGTACAGCCCAGAAGGTCTAACATAAAGAATGAAAAATGGCTACTGTTTTATGATAAATGGACAAATTTTCACTAATATAATTGTAAAAGTGCATAAGAATGCATTCCTGGTAATACATACACGCACGCACGCACGCACGCACGCACGCACGCACGCGCCAGGAAATTACAAATTCACCTTCCAGGTTGTGCAACAACGAAATACATACAGAGGAGCATGGATCGTCAAAGAAAATTATGTTTTTGATATTCTATTTCCATGTATAAAATGTCCCAAAAATGACGTACTTTTCTTAAATACAAATTTAGAAAAATTGGATTAAAAATAACAACTTATATCCAATATAACAAGTTATATCCAATATAAAAAAATATATATATATATAAAATTTTGATAAGTTTAATGTTTGAAAACAATTCCTCCGCACCTTTTTTTAAGTAAAAGTCAATCCTTGATATTTTTAACATAACATTATTAAAATGTAAAATTTAAATGTTTTAGTCCCTAATTTGAAAAGTACGTGACTTGTAAGACAGTTTCTATAAAAATAATTTGAAAAGATTATAGAATAACAATTTAATCAATTTTGCAATTATCAAATATGAACCTCATATACACATATCAGACAAAGATAAGAAAACATTATACAGCAGAAACATTATACAGCGGAAACATTTTAGCTATGTAGAGAGAAATAATAACACAAATGACTCAAGAAAATATATGAGATATAATCAAATAATGGCACTTTGAAAATATTCTACCGATAAGAGCTCCTTCTTCTCATAAATTATATATGACATTTTACTAAAGATAAGTTGACAGAAATAACTGTAATTTGAAGATATTACTTTCGATGTTTGCTTACAATGCTTAATATATATTGAATGTGTATAATTGAAAGAGGAAAGAATTTTTTGTTAATGAAAGAATTATCATGTAATAATATTGCTGCGTCAATGCATTTTTCGAGAATATTTTACACTTTTGAAAATTAGAAAGTGTTCATTCTTGAAATGTTAACAAATCAAAACAGTTCTCTATGGCCAATCAGTTAATGAGTTAATAAAAATATAGAAATTCATCTGTAGGTGTTGCAAATGCGATGTCGAGGGTAAAAACAGGGAATAAAAAAATGACTATTTGTAAAATCTGTAATAAAAAATTGTCACACCAATTCACGTCAAAACCATGCGTCCACTGCGATTCGTCTACACTCATTTTGAAACATAAATTTTGTAAATATCATGCGATATAATAGAATACCAACAACTTCTATTAAAGGCAAATCATCGTACATTCGCTGCTTGTACGTCATAACATATTCATTTATCGGCTTTTCAATAGACTTTTCAATAGTTTACTGAATGATTCAGAAGTTGCTAGTAGAGAGACAGGTGTACTAAATCATCAGAGTGGAAAGAATATGAGAATATCGATTTTGAAATTAATCTAACAAAATCCAATAGAATTTCAAAAAACACGTACTATGTAAGTGTAAATATAAAAGATTACATTACTCCAAGAATTTAGTAACATCTGTATAAATATATAATCATTCAAAGTGATTAGTCGATCGGAAATAACGAAACACGTACCTTTCTTCATTTTCTTGATTTCTTGTTCCTGTTGATCAACAGCAGCACCCAATAAGGTAAAGATAATACCCGCTTGGGAGTTAACACCTACTGCAGTAACTAACATTTTTCCGGAACCCTCCATCACGTGCGTACCTTTTCAACAATGCAATATATATAAAATTATATATAATTTATATATAATTTATATATATAATATATATATAATTTTCCATCCTATGACAATTCTTCAAAATTTTTGAATATTTTTTTATACATTAGAAATAATGTATCAACGAGGATAATTCAATTAAGACTCTCTCACCTGAAAGTACCATTGGATCGAACGCTTCCCCTTTCTTTACATGATCTGACTCTCCAGTCAGACTGGATTCATCCACTTTGAGATCGTTGCTTTGTATAAGAATACCGTCTGCAGGCAACAGGTCTCCATATTTTATCTATATTGTCAAACAGCTAATTTAATGTAAATTTTGCTTTCCTCTACTACATTAATATTAATAGAGATGCTGTACAAAGTCAATCCAACATTAAGAGGTTATTATATATTTAAAGACTATAAAGAATGTGATTAACAATGCTGCATACATACCTGACAAATGTCACCCACAACAATGTCAGATACGGAGATTTGTTTCACTTCTCCTTGCCGTATAACCGAGAATTTATGTTCTCCCTCTATCCGACTTTGAAGACCTCTAAACTGTCTCTCCTTGGAATAGTCATTAAACGCCGTCACTAAGACCACCACAATTACAGAAATCAATATAGCGAGTCCTTCAATCCAACCATATTTCGCTTCGTCCTCATCTACACTCACAGCTGGAGATAAACGAAACAAATTATTGTAAAAATCTCTTTTCTCTCTCTCTCTCTCTCTAGAATCTTTCTAAACCTAAAGCTGACACTCTCTGCAGTTATACACTATATACACTCTATATATATATATATATATATATATATATATAGAGAGAGAGAGAGAGAGAGAGAGAGAGAGAGAGAGAGAGAGAGAAAGAGAGAGCATA